ATATTGCTAATATAGTCAAAGGAAGAGAAATACTAAGTTAAATACAGAGTAGCCTAGAGACAAAGGAAAGCCTTGACTATATGTCATAGATCTAATGCTTTGATCTTATGACTAGAATAACAATTGCAAAAACATGTATGACTTGACTGTGTTCAATTTCTTTAAGTTTTATAATAGTTAAGCTGAATTTCACATAGCTGAGTTAACAAAATTTAGGTTTAAATTTCAATTTGGACATGAACTTATACAGTCACTTTGGGGAGAAAACCACTAAATTACTGGGCCTCTGGTAGCCTCATTTTTTAATTTTTAAAAATTTTCTTTTGAGAATTCCATATATGAGTTTATTGTATTTACATCAGTTCTAGTCCTCTTTCTCTCCAACTCCTCTCATACTCCCTCCATATTTTCTCATGACATTCTTGTTCTGTAATTATTATTGTCACACACACAAACATAAACAAACAAACAAACATATACAACCCACTGAACCCAATTAGTCTTGTCAATTAGTACATGTGTTTATGGCTAACCACTTAATATTGGATAATCTGCCAGGAAGCTTGCCCCTGGAAAAAATTATTTTCTCTCTCCTTCAGCAGCTACCAACTGTCCATTATCTCTTCTTCTAAGTGTGGAGACTTGTGACTTTTTCTCCCATCCATTTGGCATGTTAACTGGTTTGGTAATCATGTACATCTTGTACAGGCAACTGTGGGGCCAGGGAGTCAGGGGACTGGCAGAAGCCAGCTCTGAGCAACAGTGGGGTTGAGGCATGTCTAGACTCCCCAGATATCATCCTGACATAGGCAGGAGTAGGATTGCTCTCCTCCTCCTTTGGGCTGTGTGTCCCAGCACATATAGCCCTACACACCCATCTTTGTCCCTAGAGAAGATCACATAGCCTCATATCCAAGTTAAACTTCATCTCCTATTAAAAAGTGATGTCCAGCAACACCTGGAATTTCTTCTTATGCAAATGAGACATCCCCATTGCCCTGGCCCCTGCCAATAATATACCCTCATCCCAAATAATCTAACCACCCCCAAATGGTTTAAGTACCCTTTGTTTCCACCATTAAATGAACTGTCCAACTGAAGCCGCCTCCTGAGTGTCTGTTATCCTCATGCTCATAGTCACCTAATATGAGTAGAGAAAAGGAGCCTGAATGGAAGACAACCATATTGCTGAGATTTCATGAGTTCAGCTTTCTTATCATGTCCAGAAGACAGTATCATGAAGCAGACATCTTGGTCCTTTGGCTTTTAACATCTCTCTGCTAAACACTCTTTCTCCTCCTCCTCCTTTTCCTCTTCTTCTTTTTCCTCTTCATCATCTTTCTGTGATGTTCCCTGAGTCTGAAGTGTAGGGTTTGTGGGGTATTTGTACAAACTGAGGCTGTATGCCCCATAGTCAATTACTCTCTGCATTTGATCAGTTGTAACCATTGTCCACTGGGGGTAGAGGGAGCTTCTTTGATAAAGGCTAAAAGCTACTCTTCTCTGTGAATATAAGAATAAGTATTTACTATACAGTTAGAATCCATAGTAAAAATCCTTTTATGTATATACTTTCCTCAATAAACAAGTACTTTCAATTTTTTTGTATCTTGATATAAATTTTATTTCCATATTTATTCTTTTAATGAAAATGTAGGCCTTTAAGGATCTGAGGTTATATTTACATAACATTTTTAATTTCTTGCCTGATTGACAATAACTTTATCATCTTTACATTAAATGAAAGATTGTGAGTTTCAAAAAAAGACCATCAGCTGTCAGCCCACCATCACTGAAGCTATTCTAATATCAGCTCATATTTTTACTGCACTGTTATTTTAGTGTCAGCTCAGATTTGTCCTTAGGAAATTGTCTTTGTCTTATGAGAGTCTGACCAAACATATAAAAGTCTGACTTAAAAACAAAATCCTATTTCTATTATTTTTATAATCATATTTAAAATAGAGAGGATTTAGAAAACCCTTAATGATTATATTGAAGATTTCTACATTCCCCATACCTGAAAAAAAATGTTGAGATTAGTGGTTTGTGTCATGTCATTAATAAATGTTCACAGAATGACTATCTTCTAAATATTTTAGGATGGACAGCTTGGAAATAAGAGAAGGAAAATATTAGTTTAAAAATGGATCAGTAGCATTCAGGAAGATAGAGGCAGGTCGATCTCTGTGAGTCAGAGACTAGCCTGTTCTACAAACCAAGTCCAGGACAACCAAGGCTACACACAGAAACGCTGTCTCAAAAAAAAAAAAAGATCAGATTTGAAATATAGGAACAGGGTAGTGCTTCCAATAGACAACTGGGAAAGCTAGAGGGGCTGATAATTTATGGGATAAGATAGGTGTCTGATTTCAAGCTCACTGAGTAGGAGTCCAGATGTGTTTGTTGATTGCTATCTTTGCCTGGGTATTTGAGATTAAAGGTCCAGAGAGAGGCCTGGACTCAGTAGAGAACTTACGATAGTATTCACAGTAAGACAGTAGCGGAAACTGTAGCATTGATGGCTGTCAGTGAGGCAGTTCACAAAGGCCAAGGAAAATAATGGCTCTAAAATGCAGCCTTAGCACAGTGAGAAAAGAAAGCACATCTTCCACACCCACTCCAGTGTCGCCAGTGTAGCGTATTAATAGATTGTGCTACAGGGCGGGAGACACACTTTCTTTGGAAATTTGCTCCCTGGAGGCCACTGGCAAGTCTTCCCGACCACCTAAGTCAAAAAGACGCAGTCTAGGGTCTCTATGCTTTTTCGGTTGCGGTTGTGGGGCTGGAATAATGAGTTTTTTGATCTTTCTTTATGATTCCTGAAACAGCACAATTAACTATTCAAGGAAATATATTCTTGATAGATTATCAAAAACTTTAACAAGAATAAGGCAAAAGAAAAGTAGTTTTAAAAGAAGTAATGAATTAGATTTAGTATTAAGAGCATTATAAGAATAGTAAAAAAAATAATAGGCTCCTTCTTAGGAAAAAATAGCATGAGAGGTACAGCTGGCTCGAGCTTGCCCCCCCCCCATTGTCTTGTTTCTAGGAAAGATAGTAAATCTTTTACAGACATATGGGAGGATGGTTTTAACAAAGGTGTATTTAGATTTTAATACGGAGAAAGATTTTGGCAGGCATCTGACTTAGCTCCTGACTTTCCTCTTCATTGGTTAGCAATAATGAAACTGCAGTTTGAGGTTTCTCTTTCTTTGTTTGTTTTGATCAAAAAGTTTTCAGGCCAAGATTACTTGTGGGCATTGCTTTATGTTTGACTACATTTTTGAGTTAAAATGTAAACTTTGTATTCTTGGTAAAAACCTAAGTGTTCTGAGAAATATGCCAACTTTAAGGTGTTTCCTTATGTAATTACTATGAAATTATTAGCCTAACTTCAGTAAAGTTACAGTAGGATCAAAAACATCTCGGTGTGGTCTCTGACTGTCATTCGCCTGAATCTGTGCCTTCCTGACATCCAAACCTCTGATTTTGCCGTGGACGCAGGGAGGCTGACTGGGCCGGTCCGTGGCACACAGCTTATAAACTACAGAACCCCTGCACAGATGTAGTCCATGGCAGTTTAGTGTCTAAGTGGGTCACATAGTAATGGGAAGAGGGACTGGCTCTGACATAATCTGATTGGCCTGCTCTTTGATCACCTCCCCATGAGGGGAGAGCAGCCTTGCCAGGCCACAGAAGCTGACAATGCAGCCGCTCCTGATGAGATCTGATAGACTAAGATCAGAAGGAAAGAGAGGAGGACTTGGTGAGGGGCATGCATGAAGAAGGAGGAGGGAGGGTGGAACTGCGAGGGAAGGAGGGAGGGGGTTATGGGAGGGGGTACAAAGTGAATAAAGTGTAATTAAAAACAAAACAAAACAAAAAAAGAGCTAAGCTACTGAATACAATGTGGTGTCACAGAAAACATGAAAATGGGTAAATAGTAAGGAATTACAGGATGTTTCAGCAGTTGTCATATGGTTCAAATACTATGCAAAGCTCAAGATCCCTGGACACCTGAGAGGAGCAGTGTTATTCAGTATGATTTATAGCCCCATGGAAGTTTACATGTTATATCATGTCTTTTAAAAAAAAATCTATGATAAACCTTTGAACTTGAGCCTAGTCATCAAGCCAGAGAAGACAATTTAGGTCTTGATTTTTTTCCATATGCCCATTATTTTGTATATAACTATAGATGTATGTAAACATGTTATAGTGGACATCTTTTTGCTGTTGTTAAAAACATTTTATATTGTAGCTGTAGAAAACCCCATTGCAGTGTTCTTGCTATTTAAAAGCCAAACAGCCCTTGCTTAAATACTTTTTAAATTATCCAGAGGAAATAGAACATGGCCCTTTAAATTTTTTAATGGTTCTAAAAGAGGTTCTTCATTCTGTTACACAAGTTTCTAAGGAAACCAACTGTACACTAATACCAACCAAAAGACATAGAAAGAGCATGCTGTGAACAAGCGCAGGGTATGACAATAATGTTTTTTCTAATTTCTTTCTTCCTGATAACAAGAAAAGAAAATTTGGAGTCTAGAAATTCAGACCAGGAAATGGAAATCTTTTTTGTAAAATTGTAGTAAACTGATGACTATAGGTTTAACTTATACTTGGATTTGTCAGCCATTGAAAGACAACTACTTGAGAGAACATTGATTAAAAAATATACATGCTTTAAAGTTGATAGCACCATATTCACAATATATACATATATATATATACACAGAAATTGATGTTTCTAAAATATAAAAACAGTGAGTCATAAAGTCATTATTTACGCACAAATTGTATAACTAGAAGTAAAGTAAACAACATTTGCTGCCGTTTTATTTGAGGTAACATTAAATTTGCAACATAGGGAGTGGAGGACGGCTCCAAGGAGAGAGAACCACCTGTGAAGTGCCACTGCTCCAGTCCGTGAGGCTCTAGTGGGTGTGGACTAAAATAATGAGAATCCTGTTTCTCGATTTTACCTTAGTTTGAATATGAGTAAGTGCAGTAAACTACCAGTTCAACAGCCAGCCAGTTCTGAGATCTTCAGCCCAGACATTCTTGCTGATGTTTTTGAACTCTTTGCCAAGAACTTTATGTACTGTCAGCCAGTTGCTGGTGAGTGGCAGTCACCAACTCCCAGTGAGCTCTTCACCTGTGACCATACAGAGTTCAGTGCTTTTCTTGACTTGAAGAACTCCCTAAATGAGGTGAAAAACCTCCTGAGTGACAAGAAACTAGATGAGTGGCACAAGCACACTGCTTTCACCAACAAAGCAGGGAAAATCATTTCTCATGTGAAAAGGGCAGTGAATGCAGAACTCTGCACACAAGCCTGGTGCAAATTCCAGGAGATTCTGTGCAGTTTTCCAGTTATCCCACGGGAAGCTTTTCAAGAAGGAAAACTGAATTCTGTGCACCTATGCGAAGCTCCAGGAGCCTTCATAGCTAGTCTCAATCATTACTTAAAATCCCACCGGCTCCCTTGCAAATGGAAGTGGGTAGCTAACACATTGAACCCGTACCATGAAGCAAATGACAATCGTAGGATGATTATGGACGATCGGCTGATTGCAAATACCTTGCACTGGTGGTACTTTGGCCCAGATAATACAGGTGATATCATGACCCTGAAATATCTGAGAGGGCTTGAGGATTTCCTCAGCAGTGTATCAACTGTTCACTTGGTCACTGCAGATGGGAGTATTGATTGTCAAGGAAACCCAGGTGAACAGGAATCTTTAGTCTCCTCTTTGCATTACTGTGAAGTTGTCACTGCTCTTACCACTCTTGGAAATGGTGGCTCTTTTGTTCTAAAGATGTTTACACTGTTTGAACATTGTTCTGTAAACCTCATGTACCTGCTGAATTGTTCCTTTGACCAAGTCCATGTTTTTAAACCTGCTACCAGCAAGGCAGGAAACTCTGAAGTCTATGTGGTGTGTCTCCACTATAAAGGAAAAGAGGCTATGCATCCTTTGTTATCTAGGATGGTGCTGAATTTTGGCACTGAGATGACCAGGAAAGCACTCTTTCCCCATTATGTGATCCCCACATCTTTTCTTGAGCAACACAAAGAGTGCTGTACATTCTTTCATAGATACCAGTTAGAGACTATTTCTGAGAACATTCGTCTGTTTCAGTGTATGGAAGAGGGGGAACAAGAGAAACTGAATAATTTAAAGGACTGTGCTGTACAGTATTTTATGAAAAAATTTCGACTGAAGCATCTTTCTAGAAATCACTGGCTTGTTAAAAAATACAATATCGGTTGTAGTACAAACATAAAATGGATTGGACAGAGGGGAGAGTGTTTTAAAACCTATAATGAACGGAAGATGCTGGAAACCCTTTCATGGAAAGATAAGGTAGCCAAAGGATACTTCAACAGTTGGGTGGAGGAACACACCGTCCATCATCCTGGACAGAGTTCCCTCTTAGAAGGGACTCCTGCTGATCTTGAGTGCCACTTGTGGCATATTTTAGAAGGAAAGAAACTGCCAAAGGTGCAGTGTTCTCCTTTCTGTGATGGTGATATTTTAAAGACTCTTAATGAAGCCATTGGAAAGTCCATAGAGGCTTTGAGTATGGATTCAAAGTTCAATCCCAACCATCAATACCAATGTTGTGACATTTTCTCAGAAGAATTGATATTATCCGAGTTGTTTAGCCTTACCAAGTGCCTTCAGGATGAGCAGACTATAGAACTGGGCAGCCCAATAAAGTGCCTGCTTGTGGGTTCACCGACTGTCTGTGATTTAAAAATGCACACACCCCTGGAGGTCCAGCTTCTGGAATCCATCGAACTCCTAACCTTCAGTTGCTCATTGCTTCATGATGGAGACCCAATATACCAGCATTTGTTTCTGGATTGCCTTCTACACTCACTGAAGCAGCTTCACACAGGGGATGTGATGGTTTTGCCTATACTTTCATGCTTAACAAGATTTATGGCTAGCTTGATCTTTGTCCTCCACAGCTGTTTCAGATTTGTCACATTTTCTTGTCCTACATCCTCTGAACCCCTCAGGACCTGTGCTGTCCTGCTCTGCATTGGTTATCAGAACCTTCCAGATCCAGTTTTCCAGTATCTGCAGAATGTTAAGGAATTGTTGAGAGCTTTGCTCCACTCTAATGCACCCCAGCAGGTTTTGCAGTTTGTGCCAATGGAGGTGCTCCTTCAGGGGACATTGCTTGATTTTTTGCGCAATTTGAATGCTGCCATTGCAAAAAGGCATTTGCATTTGATTATTCAAGAAGAGAGAGAGAAAGTCATCAGAAGCCTTGAGCCACAAACTTGAACATGCCATTGATGAGATTTAGTTTTGTGACCTACAGTTTCTGATTTCATTTCGCCAGCCCTCTGTATTTATTTAATACTTTTCATTTTGGACAACTGCCAGTTTTTGTATTAAAGGGCATTAATCATGGAAAGTCATAGCCTTTTCTAATCTGAAAGATCTATGGTTCAGGTACAGAGTTCTTATAGAAGGAACCATGCATTTGTCCCGTCCCGTGGGACTTAGTTATTCGTGGGGGCGAAGGGGGTCAATCCTGAAAAAGATGGGGGAGAGAGAGAAAGGACACAAGCAGACGGTTGCCGGTCAAGTGTCCCCTTTATTGAACTTTGGTGTTTCTTTTAAAACGTGGTTTTGGCAGGGCGGGGGAGAGGGGCGAGAAAGGGAAGTAGTAGTGGAAAAATACCAAGAC